ATATCAAAAATGTTTAAAAATTATAATATCTTTTAAATATTAACGAAAGTTTGAAATCTAAAAAGGACAAAATTTGCGTATACTTTTAAAAAAAATCAGATTATTGATTTTTTTTTTATTCTCATATCTTAACAGCTAGCAACAAAATGATACATGATGACCTCAACAACCCTTTTGTAGTGGTTGTCATCAAAAATACCAATACTAGACATTATGGTAAAATTTATAATTATCCTAATGCAACAACGGCTCATCTGATTGATAGTCTGCCTTCAAGAAGACTACACAAGAAACTGCCTATAGACTTAATGTAAAAAATTGTTTTCTATAGTCAATTGCTTATTGGAGTAATTAGGCTTTTTAATTATTTATTGTTCTTTATTTGTAATTCATTTTATTCGTTTATTTATTTATTATTATTTTTTCTTTCTCTTAATTTCTTTCTGTGAATATTATTATTTTTTATGTGTATCTTAGCCCTTTCACTTATAAAGTTCAATCAATAACTTTAATTGTTATATAATATTGAATGAATAAAAAAAATCTTAATAGCAATCAGAACCTTACGTCCTATGAACTGTTGGGCTGAAACTTCTCTTTACTTCGTATTTTTAGATGGTAACTTAATGGTTAATCTATTCATATTTGATGATTTTATTATTAGAATTTATCTAATAGGGCTTTCATTGTTGCAGCAATGGCAGCCAAGGGCTATTTTCACTTGGAAACATATTAGGGTATCAAACCCAGGACCTCCAAATCAAGTCCCGTCGCTCTTAACCGTTTACCTACGGGAAAACCCGTCTTAACCGTATACTTACGGGATATTTAGTTAAACTGATATTTTCGATCTTCAGTTTTAGCTATGTTCTCATTTTACTGGCTGTTGGGTCCGAAGTCCAAACTATCCACCTACAACAAGCTTCTTGTATACAAAGTCGTCTTAAAACCAATCTGGACTTACGGCCTTTCTTTCTGGGGTAGCGGCAGTCGATAATATAAATATCTTACAGCGAGCTCAGAACTAGATCCTCAAAAAAATACTGGTATGTACCTAATTGGCTCGTTCATCAGGACTGCAACATACAAACAATAGCGAAAGAAATTAGTAGATTAGTAGTAGACAAGTTAAGATTGGAGAACCATCCAAATGAACTAGCAAAACACCTACTCTCTGCGAACACTGTCAGGAGACTAAAAAGATTAGATCGACTTAGTATAGTTATATATTTTGTATAGTGCTTGTAATTCACATGTGTATATTTATTATTTGCTTGAAATTATTGTCACATATCTATATTTATTATACTAACTTGAAATACTACCAGTGAGTAGTATTTTAAAATCTTATTTAATAACTAATCACAACAATTACTGAATGCCTTTTCAGGCAGAAAATAAATAAAAGCTGTGTTTTCATGATTTTCCAAAGAAGCTCGAAACTGTATATATTCTTAAGATACAGAACATACTTTACTAGATATTTTATAACATTTTCTGAAACTTCATGCTTAGAAACTCGATGGTTGGTTGAAAGAATAAACTTATTACCCATGGGGGGTCTCCCAACTTCCAACGCCTAAAATGCATTTTTATTTTTATCCCCGTGCATTCCACATGTCAGTTCCCTGATATCAATCGGAACAATATCGGTGGAAAATTCGACCTCGATATCAAAACATTTTCAGCGAGGGAGTCGTTTCTTATAAAGGCTTTGCCTGATCACTAATCTCGATCAGTGCATTTGTGCAACTCGTACTGACGATAAGTGCTAAGACTCCGATAGGACATTACCATAAGAGTTACCACATAACGGACGCACATCGGTGAGTAGAAAATCAGAAAATCTTATCCAATGATATCTGTAATTAATAGAAGTAATTGATTATTTATTTAGATTGCCTACTTGATAATCTACTTATCTATGGGTAATTAACAAGTGCTTATGAAAATTAATCTTCTACGCTTAATTGCTCTAACAGGGTTGGTACTGATTGCTAAATTATAATACAAGACATATTGAAAATTGGTGGTAATTGGTTTTGTTTGATAGATATTAACCATTTCGTTTCAAAACATGAGCATTTTAAAATCCCTTTTTTAACTTCCCGTAGGGTAAGTTATAGTGATCGCAAAAAAATCGAAAATATTTTTCTATATATCTTTACGTTTCAAACGTTTCTGAACATTTTGGCCTTAAAATCTTAAAAAATGGATGTATGTGAGTATTTGTGTGTGTGTGCATGAGTGTTTGGATGAAATTTTTTGTTCGCGATTTCGGATGGATCAACCGATTTGAATGATTCAAAAAACATTCAATTCTTACTGATGGAGAGACGTGCTGATTTTTTTTTAGCCGTTTCGAAGATACTGGACAAAAGGTGCCAAAAATGGTAATTCAGGTTTTGAGGTAAAAAATCATATTTGGCTGTCTAAAAAAATCATTAGACATTAAATATAAATTTTTTAAATTCACAATTCAGTTCGGAAATGAATATATTTCATATGAGTTATTATAATCGTAGGAAATATATCTTCAGATGAATTCATTTGGCTTTTTTTCTTAATATAAACATTTTTCAGTGTTTTGAGCAATAATTAAGATAGTCACTGTATATTATATGAATGAATATATAGTGATAAGAATTATCTCTTTGAAAAGATTTTAAAAAAAATGCCATTAATCATTAAACAATCAATCAATTTCAATTTCAATCAATATTTATTGATTTTATTTTTGCTCGAATATTTAATTCTGCAGAAATTTAAAAAAAATCATATACGTCTTGTGCTACGTTTTTTTTTGGTAAATTTTTTGTGTGAAAATAAATAATTTATAGAGATAAAATAACATAAATTAATAGATCAGTATTTAATATATAGTGTATCTATATTTAATAATGCATTTGTTGACGCTTGAATCCACATTTTTTAAATATCTTCCATAATATTTTGTTGATATGAATAAAGTATTTTATAAACTCAAATAATCTACATTTTTAAAATCATTTTCTAATCTTTATACAAAATTGTAAATGTTCTCGATAATAATTGCACAAAAAAATACTTGTGCTAATCGATTGATAAAAGTGTAGCAGCAATCCTAATAAAATATCAATAAGAGATCAGTAAACATAAAATATATTGAGATATCGTAATACATTTCGATTTGCCTCAATTAGAATCGACATCTGAATATATTTATATCATATCTATGTAGGAAATAAATTCGTTTTTCTTCATTTTACCTTACGTTTAAATATATGATGGTGATAAAATCCAATGGTTGTAAAAGAGATTAAGTCGATGTAAGCTGAATGATGTGGACTTTCTTCAGATAATTTTACTTTAAACTGTTAATTGTATAATTATTGAAAGTTGACACTATGATTCATAGAACTTTTACTAAGGATATGGACTGCTCATTAGAAATGCAATGATAAATTTTATATAAGCTATAATAATTAAATTTTTGTACTAAACGAAAATATTTTGCGTATTATTCAATTCTTATAGTATATGATGCAGAATTTTATTATTTTTTCTTCAAATTCTTCAGATCGTAAAATTGTTCAATAAAATTAATTACCAAGAACGGTCGATTTTATTGTTTTATCTAGTAAAATCGTAGCGTATAATCGTTTTTATAACTTTACTGTTTTCGGAAAGAGAAATTTAATTTGTTCTAATCACAGAATTATATTTTTTAAATGTTTATTCCTAATTTTTTTATATTTTATCCCAAAAAGTATCTTCGTATATAGTAAAAATTCTTTATTATATCATACTGGTCAATTGAATTATTTTGGTTTTGAAAGATTTATCATTTATCACCCACGGATAGTTTTTTTAATATAAATAAAAAATTTTAAAAAAATATTTAATTATTTAACAAATTAATAAATACATGAAGTTCGAAATTTTTAACAATCTCAAAATCGTTAATTTGATTGCATTTGAAGTTAATTTGCATTAATAATCTTTAAGAAAAGATACTTCAGTTTTAACACAAACTGTTTTTCCCCAACAGTTTTTTTACTATTTTGCAAAAATATATACTGTAATTTTATATTACATTTTGTGAATATATTTTGCACGTTTTTATTATCTTGCATGGTTTTTATGATTTATCACTGTTTAATTTATGCGTTTATAAAATTTCACATCAATAACCTTCTAATTATTTTATATGAATTATTTAATTTCTCATAAATGCAATTACACAATATCCAATAAAATTTATATTTTTTACGCTATATATAAAGAAATACTTTCAATTAGAGCCGCCCATATATCCATAATTTTTGACTAAGAATGCGCAGTGTGTTGAAGTGCTTGAATTAAATGGTAAACATATTTTTTTTTAATTTTTATTATTTTAGACCTTAAATATTATTTGAGGTCTGAGGTATAATCTAGTTGTTTTTGTCAATACTTTACACTTGTGATTTATTGTAAATATTGTTTGTGGTATGAAAATGGTGACTGAAGTGATGGTTTTCAATAAGCAAATTTAGTTAGCATAAAATTAACAAATATAATAATTTGAATTAACATAAAATTAACAAGTATAACATAATTATAATTTGTAGTTAGATGTCAAAAATTGAACTAAACTACAATAATATATCATTATAATTTCATGAATTATATGAATTTATGAAGCAATACGAATTGTTTCAATTATATTAAGAAGCATTTTAAATAATTCGAGCCATATGGGATATTTATTACGAATATGTATTTTTGTAAAGTTTATTACTGTATAGAATAATTAATTAAGCAATATGCTTAAAACTTCAATTAAAAACATAAGTACTTTGTATAAGATATTGAATATGAATTATAATTCAGTAAGAGCTAAAACATAAAGAAATCTAAAACATAAATTCATCATGGATTTGCATATTTTAATAAAACCTATCCCCAATAATAGCTTCTTCTTTCAATTTAAAACTAAAAAATAAATATTTTTTCATAATATTTTTCATCAGTGCACGATGTCTGTAATCAAAGAATGCTGCCTTTTGGCCATTTTCTTGGGGGCTTTAAAATTTGGCCAATCTGCACGAGTGCTACGAGAAAGATTTAATTGGCGTGTGTTAGACTTTGCTTATCCAACAATTGAAGAAAGACTGACTGCCATCAGCAATGGCCAATTTATCCCTGAAAATGGTTTACCAGTAGGAATCGAAACGTGGGGGGACAGGATGTTTGTCACTGTGCCCAGATGGCGTGAAGGTAATTTGATAAATTATTTGATTATTATTGAACATTTGTAATTTAGAATAATCACATTTATATGTATATATACTAGATGACCCGACAGACGTTGTCCTGTGCCCACGTCTGCAATTCTGAAACTCCAACAATTTTTAATACCCCAACCTATACTTTGCAATATCCTATTTTGCCTGCCTTTGTGATTCATTTATAATCTTAACATAACATATACATTTTGGAAATTGCAGTCTTTTAAACAGTATAACAAATTTCCGAAAGAATTATATTATTATAGTATCCGCATTAAAAGTACAATATTACCTTCGATTTTTTCACTCAAAATAATTGCTTCAATAATGTTGCCTAAAATTTTTACAATCTCGCACCATATTTCAGTTAGATTTTAGTAATTACAATACCTTAATTACTTTTTTCTCACTAGTAACTTATGATACATTATTACTTAAGTTCATATTTTAAGCAAATTAATTTGTCAAATTCTGTTCATATGTACACTATTCAATCTACGATCAACTAACTACAAATTCCATATCCAATGTCAAACAAATGAATTTTTTCCATGATACTTTTGACAATGATATGTTGTTTTTTGCATTTTTCCATTTTACAATATTACTATAGTTCTATAATCATTTAAATCCTTAAAATTTTCCTTAACAAACTTCAAAAAGATTTAACAAAATTCGAATAACCGTGTAGGAGGCGTTTTGATTCATACATCTGTACAGATATATAAGTATGTATATATATATATATATATATATATATGTGTGTGTGTGTGCGTGTGTATGTGAGTGTTTCATAAAATATTATATATTAGTGAAATGTAAATCGTGTACATTTTTCTGTATCATTTTACTCATGTTGAACGCAAATCAAAAGTAGTTTCCTAATTACTTAATCACCTTACGTTCCAGCAATTATTTTAGTGATTATATTAGATATTTAAACTCTTATAATGAATATTGAAAACTACGGTATATACATGCAAATTAATATTTGCTGTACCATGATGAAATCGATATCAACTAATGATAAATTTATTGTAATTTGAATTGCTAAATAATAGAAGGGATTATTCTGAATTTGCAGATGCATATTATTATTGCTATAAAATACTAATATAAAACTTGTTCCTTATTTATAACTTAGATCTTAAATAAATTAAAATAAATTCAATTTGAAAAATATACATAGGTAACAATATATAAGAAAAAATAATTACTCATTTTTATTTTCTGTTACACTGTTTATGTTTGAAATATTTGACTGAAATATGGATACTAGAGATCAAAATAAGATACTTTGCTGAAGAAACCATACCTCTAAAATGAATTATAATGTCCCGTGCATTGACCCAAAGATAAGGGTTGAATTTTGAAAAAACACCCAGGAAGGGTCCCAGAGAGTGAACCACGGGCACGGGTCAATCGACCTTCCAAAGTTAGTGAGAGTCGTTCATACATTTGGGCCTGATTGGGGCACTCTAAATGGATCAAAATAAAGTTTTAAAATTTTAACCCTTATTTTTGGGTCAATACACGAGACATCAGAATTCATTTTAGAGGTATGGTTTCTTCAGCAAAGTATCTTATTTTGATCCCTAGTATCCAAAAATCATATGTGCCTAAGCGACTTTCTGTGACGAAACGAGGAGATAGTATTAACCTGAAAAAATGTAGCAAAAAAATTTTTTCACATTGCTTAGAAATTATGAGCTTTTAAGTGCAACTTAGAGCTTTGATACAATTATGACACTCAATCTTTGGAACCGTAATCGTGAATAACATTTCTAAGACCACAGCAAAAAAAAAACACAATATCCCCAAGTTTTCAAGAATTGAGAGTTTTTGTTGAACTATTTAAACTAAGAACTTAAAATTTTTAAAATCGGTCGACTCTATGTGGCCCTTCTTTAAAAAATGTACTGAAGTAGGTTGCAAGTTTCAAATTTGGCGCATCTAATCAGGATTGTAAAATGGTGAAATACTTGATAATTTTATTATTGAGAAATTTTACAACCTAAAAATGGCACGATAACGACTGACGTATTAAAAATAAAACTGAATGCCTTATAAATAGTTATAAACAACATTAATAAATTATAAATCACTCGAAATGATTTCAAGAATGCAGATATTTATATATCACTAATACGATGAAATACTTTCAACATTTTCTACGTCGATTAACTAATATGTCAAATGGTTGACATTGGAAAATCGGCAGCCGTGTTACTTTTTCTAGCATGTTCGAGACACATTTTACTTAATTATTACATAAATGTCCCGATAGATAAATTGCCGTTTCTCGTAAACTGTTCAATTATGCTGAATATCGTTAAACGTGGTTGACTCGGTACACATTCACTGAAATTGCAATATAATAAATTATTTATTTTGCAACTTGTTTTTAATATACCAATAATTGCAATAATATAGTATGTTTTACGCCTACCTATAAGATTTTTTGCTGGAACATTACTAAATTTGCAGATCTAATCTATGGTAAATTATTGGTAAATTTATGTCAGATAATATTTAGTTCTTTTGGTTGATTTTTGAAATACCAAAAAACTGATCGGTTGCGCAAAAATTTGATAATTTTATGATACATGATTAGGACTGACTATCTTCAAGGCAGAGTTCAAAATATCCTCAATCTGAATAAAATTTGGATCTTTTTTTTGCATAGTTTTATTGTCAATCAAAATAATATACATTTTTAAGACAATATAATGTCTGTAATGTTAATGCATTTAAGAGATTATCTCTTATGAGATAACTCTTTTTTTTTGACATTTTATTTAAGATCGTAAGTCCATTTTTTCCTCAAAATTCGTGTGGGATATTTTTCGCTTAATTCTTTTAAATATATGTTTGGGTGACCTGGTAGTTTTTCGTGGTATTTTTTGCTCCTTTCTTTTATCATTTCATTAATAGTTTTTATTTTTAGGTCTTTATGTAGGGCATGCATCTTAAAATTTTCGATTGCGCTACTTGTATTTTTTTTATATTTGAATTGCTTGCGCACGCCCATAGCTCAATGCCGTATGTCTAAATTGGGATAATTATTGTTTTATATAAAAGGAGTTTGTTTTCATAGCTTTGTATTTTACGCTCTCATATTTTGGTATTTCTATGTTGTTTATTTTTACGCTTGGGCAGTCCAGGGTTCTTGTTGTGAAGGTTATATGGCTAGATTTTCTTTTATTTATTTTAATCTTCCACTTATTGAGCCTCTTTTCAAATTCGGAGACATATTGTTGAACAATTGCCGTTACGACGAATGCACTTGTATGAGTTTCCATGACAACTGTAAAAATTTAGATCTAATCGCTAGAAACGATTATTCCATCCTGGTCGTAATAAAATTTTGTCAAACTATTAAATTTTATCGTATCTATGAAGTTCATGAAGTGCTCTTAAATTTCCAAAGCCATCATCCTCCGTTTGTTGATATTTTACTTCACGATTAATGAGCATCACGTAAACCAGTTGATAAAGTGGTTAAGGCTTTTTAGGGCTTGACATTGTACTTATATTTTAATTTATTTCCAATAGTTTATTTTCTATCATTGACCTAGTAGAATATATTTTTGTGAAATGATTTAATTTCACAGGTATACCTGCCACTTTAAACAGCATTTCCCTGCATTCCAATGACAAGTCGCCTCCATTAGAACCATACCCAGATTGGCCATCTAATAAACAAGGAGACTGCTTGAGGGGCATCACTACGGCTTACAGGATTAAAGTTGATGAATGTAATAGATTATGGGTCCTGGATACTGGTACTGTCGGAATCGGTATGTAAATTATTGTCATGTGTTGTTTATTCAAAATTAGTCTGATTAGAAGAACTATCTTAAGAGATCAACTTTTTTTCTAAGAATTTAGCAATATTCAAATACATCAATTATTTTAAAAAACTATTTGTTTTGAGCATAGGAAATACCACTGTGAATGTGTGCCCTTACGCCCTGAATGTCTTCGACTTAAGAACAAATAGACGCATAAGACGTACTCCATTCAGACCCGAAGTAAGATTTTGATCATTTTATTAACAAAATTTTAGGTACTCCCTAATATAATATATATATTTTATTTTAGGATACCAATCCAGACACATTTATCGCCAACATAGCCATTGATATGGGTTCATCCTGCGATGATACTTTCGCTTATATGAGCGACGAGTTAGGATACGGTTTAATAGTTTACTCTTGGGAAAAAGATAAAACTTGGAGATTTGAGCACAGTTTCTTTATGCCCGATCCTCTTAAAGGAGATTTTAATGTGGCTGGTTTGAATTTCCAATGGGGAGAAGAAGGAATATTTGGTATAACCTTGTCACCAATAATGAGCGATGGACTTAGAACATTGTTCTTCAGTCCTCTGGCCAGTGAGAGGGAGTTTGCTGTGTCTACAAAGATTTTGAGAGACGAAAAGAGGGTAGAAGATAGTTATCATGATTTTCAGGTAAACTTATATTATATTTAAGTACATAATAGTATTAGGAAAATTCTAATGCAATCAATAGTTGAAGTTTATTACAAACTCCTAAGTTCGAAATATACGAGCCAAAATAGTTTGATATTGGTACTAGGGTTTATACAAAAACCGATATTTTAGAAAACCGGTTTTCGAATTTTAATTTTACTAAAAAACCGGTTTTAACCGGTTTTCGAATTTTATAAAGAAAATAAATTTTTGCTCGAGTATTCAGTAAGTTATCCGAAAATTTAGTGTAATTTAGAGCAGTATTTGACTGAATTTTTGTATTGTTTAATTTTATAGATAGTAAACAAATTTTTTTTATTTTAATTAATAGAACTAAATAATAATAGTTTATCTTGATTTAATAACTTTGAAAATAATTATTCGGTATTCATGCATCATTTTCGCATATAAGGATGTAAATATTTTTATGAAAGTGAAAAGAAAGTTTTCGAATAAATAAAAATTATACATTTTTAAATAAAAAAATTCATTAAATTAAAAGAAAACAAAAAAATGTTTATATGATACATGTTGATACATGCTGTGATTTAAATACTCTCATACTGGCAACCAAATTATGCTTAATTGTTTTTAAAGCCTGATATAATAATTCTAAGTTTTTTGTTCTTTAACTTGTGGCTTCTAAAGTTTAAAACTCTTTTTTTTTTAAGTTTGAGTAGAGAAAATTACTTCTTCAAGAAGAAGTCACACTGATTTAAATTAATGTATACACTGGTATACAAATCTAAATTAATATATACAAAACTTTTCTGGGAACTATTGCAGACTGATAAGATACGAAATGCTATGAGCCGATATGATTTCAAGAATTACGCTTTCATCTATCTTTTATATTTGGCTATATTTGTCATCTTCCATTTATACAGTGAAAATCGACTTTTTTCACTAAAAACCCGGTTTTCGAATTCCATAATTTTCGCCAAAAAAACGGTTTTTAAAACCGGTTTTTGAAAACCGATAAACCCTAATTGGTACTAATTAGATAATATACAAGATTTTAATTTCTTCGCAGGTTTTGGAGGAACGTGAAACTTTAGGTCATGTTACAGCCAAAGTTATGGACGACAGCGGCCTCATGCTTTACAACCTTATAGATCGTAATGGAATTGGATGCTGGCACTCATCTTCGCCTTACCAAAAGCAAAATCATGCCCTTGTCGATAAAGACGATGTCGGATTAGTCTTTCCTAGTGATATAAAAATCGATAAAGGAGGAATTGCTTGGGTTTTATCAGATAGGATGCCAGTTTTCCTCTTATCCGAATTGGATTACCATGATATTAATTTCAGGATCTTTTGGGCTCCAGTACAAGAATTAGTAAAAGGAACGGTTTGCGAAATCGATAATACCAGAAATAATATATTTTATGAACCTATTTTCTATAAACCGATATATAATCCGCAGACGGTCTATAAACCAGTTATAAATCAGGGATCAACTCCTGCTGCATACTGGTGGCATAATACTTTGTTTTACAAATAGGGCACACATTTGTACTTTTATTTACGTGTTGAAAATACTCTGATTTGTTACAAGTATTTATTCGTTAATTAGTACTTATATTTCCACTTTGAAAATGAGTCTTATTTAAAGTTATTAAAGTTCACTTCGTGATATAATAAATTAAAAGTTAATCTGTTCATAAAACTTTTGTGAATAATTTCTGAAATTACTCTTTTTTATAAATTTCTAGATGCAATAAAACTACAATTGTCTAAATTGAAACAACGTCTTCTTTAATACATAGATATATGTAGACTACAGTTTAAAAGGCATTTATGTTAGCGTTTTATTAGAAGCCTACAAACCTGTTTAAATTTGCTGTTTATTATTTCATCACTTATATTTATGTATACGAATTGAAAAGTATCTATACTAAAATATCTAAACTTATCTTATTAATGTTATTTTCAATCTAAAAGAATTTATGACAAAGACCGAATATATGGGATCATATTGTTATACTAATAACACAATGGCATTTAATTTACTCTAAATATATTATTTTATGTTTTAATTATATAGATATAATATTACTCACCTATGTACGGCCATTCATTTTAAATAAAATATATTTTAATCAAAAAAATTGATTTGTATTTAGTCCTAACTGAATCATTTTGGATGGATATACGAGATGAACTATGGTATGGCAAAATTATTTTCTTAAATTGATATAATATATAATTTTTTTTAAAAATTTTATATCGTATTTACTTTTTTTTGTATATATAAAATGAAATAAATTATACGATAAGTGAACTTATGAAATATGTTTATTGCTGAACCAGCTATGTCGATATTCATTTTTCTTTTCAAATGTCGTCGACCTAAAAATAGTAATATATATTATTTGTCTCAGGCCGAATAAACTTATTTATTACTATGATTAATATTCAATAAAATCGTGTCAAACTGCCTTGAAGCCATATATCCGAGTAATTTTAAGTTTTATATGAAAACCTTGTTTTCAATAAACCTAAAAAATATCTATTAAAATTTATTACTTTTACCCTCAAGTGCTACTTTGGCGTCTATATATTAGAACAGTAATGAGACGCTAAGCGATATTTTCGGCTTATTAATTTTGCATAAAACGCCCACAGCAGTTTTGTACCAAAAATATTACCATAAAAATATTTTGGACAGAGCTAGTGAAAAAAATATTCACTATAATATTGATACTTTTTTCAGCATATGTTAAAATAAATCAGTGATTTGAAGCATTTTTATTATCTGTTGTAGCACTACACAAACCTGTTTTATTTGAAGGAAATAAATAATGATAGGAAAGTTATCTAATAAAATTAATCATTTTGTTTAATGAATTTGAGTAAAAAGAATTGTGTCATAATTACAGTGGATTATATATAACAACAAAATATTGAATTTTTTTCATAAAAACTAAAGAAAAGGGCCAAAATTACAGTGAATTGAAACGTGAAGCATATGATATTGGGTTAGTATTTTTTTTATAGAATTTAAGGAAGAAGCCAAAAATACATTTGAAAATTGATTTTTTTTTATTTAAAGATTGAAGCCAAATTACAATGGATTTCAAAATGTAATATGTTACATCCAATACATTGTAATAAATTGAATTTTTTTCAGTAGTTTGAAAGGAAAAACATACAACGACAAAATATTGAATTTGTTCTTTAAATTTAAAGAAAGAAGCCAAAATTACGGTGTAATTATTTTTATGACTTCGATACATATTAAATTTTATCAGCTAACAACTAACTTAGTTTTCTGATGTTTTGAACATTTTGGCATACCTCAGAAAAAATGGATGTGTGTGCATGTGTGTATAGATACAATTTTTCGTCCTCATTTTCGGGCGCATAGATCAACGTATTTGTATGGTTCAATAAACATTCGATTCCTATTTATACGGAGATGTGCTGATTAGTTTTTTGCAAAGACAGGTCTAGCCGTTCTCCAGATACGAAGCAAAGAGTGCAGAAAATAAAAATCGACTTTTTGAGAGAACAGAGCATCCGATTTGAATGCTCTAAAAAGCAGTCAATTTGTAATGACGGGAAGAAGTGGCGATTAGTTTTTGGCAAAGGCAGGTCTAGCCGTTTCTAAGATACTGAGCTAAATGTGCAAAAAAGGCAGAAATGACAAGTTCTAGCAATTTGCCTCAAGGCACGATGCCATACACCACTAGTTTTGATTAATATAAAAAAGAAGAGGGATATCAGTTTGCCCAGTGGTGGCTCTGATACTACTATTGTTATTATTACTTTTGTTAATAAAACAATTGTTTATGAAGGGAAATTTGTAATACAGAACTACAAAAGTTTAAATATGAACGTATCATATTATACATATAATTCATGCATAATACCTACTTTTTTATATATAATTTTATAAACCTTTTGTCCTATGTTTTATAATTAATTGTGACTCCTATTCTATTTCAAACAGAAATAATTCAGTCAGGATAATTTTAAATCGTCTCCTCAGTAAAATATTTACCGACTTACGGTCAATTTCCTCTCATATGGCACACGTTGTAATCAGAGTCTTTCATTAGCGCTCGTGTTTGCTGGAAAAATGATAAAGTAGCCGCACGTACCCATTTAATGTATCACTAATTTGCGTATTATATTTTAAAAGGGTATATTTAAGATTATTATACATAAATGCTTTTAAAACATCCGCGGACATGCTTTGATATGTTCGTCAAATTGGCTAATAGCATATATCACCTAAAGCAGAGACGGAATTGGTGACCATAAAAACAATCTTAGAAAGTAAAAATTTATTGTAGAATAATTTTTTTTCTTCAAAATCAATTGTTTTGTTAATACAAGTAGAATTCTTTTGAATCATTCAAATCAGATGCTTAGTTTTCTCAAAAAGTGCAATTTTTTGCACATTTAGCTCCGTATCTTCGAAATGGCTGAACCTTCCTTTGACAACAGGTAATCACCACTTCTCCCCATCATTACAAATTGAATGTTCTTTGAATCATTCCAATCGGATGCCCGGTTTTCGCAAAAACAGAGTTTCCATTTTTTGCACTCTTTGGTTCGCATTTCGAAACGGCTGGATCGACCTTTCCCAAAAACTAATCAGCACATTTCCCTATGAACAGAAATCGATTGGTTTTTCAATTATTCAAATCGGTTGAGCGGTACTCCCGAAAACGTTGACTAAAAATTGTATCCACACATATATATAACACACATCCATTTTTTCTTAGGTATGCCAAAATGTTCAGAAACATCTGAAACGTGAAGATATGCAAAAATGTTCAATTTAGATTTTTGGCCCATTACTATAACTTACCCTACGGAAAGTTAATAATGATTGTGTGAGCCAATTGAGAGTGAAGGTGTGTTAATATTAAAAGTGGTAATAATTCAGAGTGTTGTTTCAAGTATATAAATTTAGATGATTAGATTTTTTTTGTATTTTGAGGCAGGCTAAGAACTTAGTTAGCACAGTCAACCACTGTTTTCACTGTTTAAATTTAATATTAACTTATGTATTTAAAACATAATGAATAAAATAACCCTTCAGAAGCCTTGCCGCAATTATACCATATACCATGTTCAAAAAACAGTAAGTTGGTATCATATTTATAGGCTATTTTATAATATTTATCTATGCCTATTTTAATTTATCCTTGAATTTAGACTCAAAGCTATAAGCAATGTTTCAAGCAAGAGAAATGTTTCAAGCAAATATAACACGGTTTGTTCTTGCTCTCGATCTTAGTTCCTATCTGCACTTTGCATGTCAAGTATTTTAGGATCGGGAAGAAGAAATAATTATAGATTTAAAGTGATTTACGTCCCGAAATCTGCCAAGATGTCGGTGTTTTTGCGGTATCGCCTTATTCACACGTATTTTGTTTTAATATCGAAGAATTTTAACAAGGCCTTTACCACTTCAGGCAACGTGATTTAATGAATAATTTGTGTGCAGTATGGCTTGTTTTTTGTATAAAAATTAGTGGAATTATAGTCATACTGTATGTCACTTAAGCACAGTTATAATAAATAACTTAAAATTTAAATAAAATTATGAACTGATTTTCACATTTAAAGCACTTACTTAAGGTTAGAAATATTATAGTTGAAAAATTATTAAACAAAATAACGATTTAGTGAAACATGTCATGTGGCAAAGCAAATCGCTAGAACTTCTAATACCGTCATTTGATTTTTTTTAAAGAATTAAATGAAAATTCAGATTTTTTATAAAGCGATTTCGTTGCGTAGCTGTTTTAGATACGAAACATTGAAGCGCTTAAGCGCCGCTTTGCAATCTAACCGTTATATATTATAAATCTTGGTACGGAACCCATAAAACTATAAATAAAATGTGTTTGCTTTTGAATTTGTAAATTAAATATCTGATAAATTGATGTGCACATGTTTAATCAACATTTTTGGCTGCTAGATCTGCTTTCCAAAAAAAATAATCAATTCTTCATTGCGACGATACCAGTGCTATGTATGTTTTTTTTAATTAATCGAAATTTCAAATCAAACGTTTTGTTATCTCAAAAACTGAATTGCCATTTTTTGCACTTTTTGGCCCGTATCTTCGAAAGGACTGAACCATTTATATGATAACATTTGTATTCAATAGACTTGTCAATAATATGATTTATTGTAATATGAAAATTAGAAGAAATTTTTGTTTTCATAGCACACTTTACGCATAGGACTACTTATGTATTAGTTTTAAACTGAATTTGGCTAGTTATTCTTATTAAATGCAACAAGTAATCCAGTTTACATATATATCCATAATAATTTGTGATTATATAAATAAATGTATAAAAAATTTATATTGATTTTTTTTTATAAAATTTAAGAAAATTAAAATTTTAATGAATATTTCAGGTTGCTTTTGGCAAACAATAATTAATATCCATAATCTATTATTAATATTAATACAAATATAAACATTTAATTACAGTCATGCAGGTGTTCTCCATGCTTATTTATTCATGCACTTTTATGATTAAGTAAATGCATGCAATACAATTGAGAAAAGCTCTTTCGGTTACTATGATGTGGAATAACACTAAAAAATTAATTCATATTCTTATAATGTCCTAATTGCTAGTTATGTATATATTGTCTTTGTCTTATTATTTTTATTTATCTCTAATCCTAATGATCCTTGCACTTGAAATCAAACTTTTTTTCGAAGCTTAAAAGTTTGCTAGAGGCGCTACTATCGCTTCGGATGTTATGAGCTCTTCTTTTATCTATGGTTATGAGTCAAATGAGTCAAATGGTCAAATCTATACTCCTCAAAGTCAAATAACATCTACTCTTCTTTTATCTATGGGTCAAATTATTTGACAGTCAACTGTCAACTGTCAACTGTCAACTGTTACCGATCCTTAGCAGTGTGAACTGATAGTTCTATGGGATAATCATTTTTAACGAATTTTAGAAGTTTTTCGTTCGTTTTTAACTCTTATTATTTATAATGCATGTTTCAATAATTATATCTATATTTGTCATTATATTTGTACAACTGATTTCTGCGAAAGAATTTCTGCAATTTCCTAGCGAGCCATACTATTTAGACATCATTAAAACAGGACAAGCACAGTATGATGTCAGTATTTTAAAGTATTTTATGTTAAGTCTTTAGTGTATTATTACCCATAATATAATCTATTTTAGATCGTTCAACAAAGAAGCAATCTCCCTGTACATGGAGACTGTTGGAAGAACGCTGTTTTGCAACTTAACCATGAATGTAAATCACTTACTGAGGATGTTCAACAGGATTTAAGTTTGAGGTTTACAAATTGTTTTCTAGAAATGTCGGGGCAACAGACATATAACTGTTTCAGTGACAAAAAGCCAAATTTAAGACGCATATGCATTGATAGTATGTCTGACAGAGCGTTCAATGTCTACACTGAGTTTTATTCACATACTCAAAATATGTGTTTTTATCTGTATAATAAAATTTGCATGAAAAGGCTGAGGAAACCATAAATTTATTAAATTCTAATACCCAATATGTCAATGAGCAATTAGAGTTAGCCAAAATTTGCAAGCAAACTTGCTTGAACAACAACAACGAGGATTAGAAATCCAGGATATTTTAATGCGACAAGGTAAAAAACTGTCCTCAGAACTTGAAATTTCTCATAACTATGTTCAAATATTGCTCAGAACTTCACTACATCAACAAAGGAACATAGTAACTTATTATTCGATATCATTTCTAAGATAAATTATATTCAAAAATGGGTTTTAGGAGAAATGACATGGATGTCAAGTTTTTGTTATTATGTGGCTATTATCTTATAGGAATCTTAGTACTATCTTCCACAGAAAAAACACAAAGTTGCAGGTTTCAGTTGCTTTTAATATTTCTTTTGAATATAGTGCTAGAATACATTGGCATAAATCAATTATTCATATTATATAATCTCTCCAGCAACTTTTCAATCTTATGTTCTCTTTTATAAAACTGTTTTGAGATGTTTAGCCTATTTACAAGTGTTTTAGTATATGCAAAAACACATTTTATATTACAAGAAACTACAATAAAGATAATAATCACTTAATAATTGAATTGCAAAAACAAATGTCTGAAATGGTGCAATGTTTAAATGAAATGAGAATGAATAATCTAATTCTTCTCTCACTCTTAAAACAAATATCATTAGATCAAGATCAGCTGCTAACTAAAAAAACTTTCCTGAATGCTTAGAAAAAATA